CTACCAAAAATCTAGCACAGTCTCTCTCTGTCTCTCTCATCCCTTGGATTTCAGCAACCACCTTCTAACTAGCTTCTGGTTCCTCATTTTTGCCGTGTGTCCAATTATTTCCTTACTACCAGAATTGAGTTTAATAAAACCCTGTCTTCATTGTGTTTTGGTACAATTATCTGAATGGAGCTGGAGAAAGAAATTGGAGTGATGATAGACTCATCCTCCTCAGAACTTCACTTTTAGCCTCTAGAAAAGTGAAAAAACACAGGCTCTTCATATTATCCACTCTGGTTTATTATAACAACTCACTCAACAGAACAACAGAATGAACTAAGGGTGAATCAATCACAAGTGACTCATTGCCAGTGATTAATTCAATATAAAGGAAGCACTGAAGTTATTTTGGGGTTACTCATCCAAAACCAAATGGTTTAGACTCTTGTCTTTATTTACCAACCAAAGAAACCAGAAATGAAGCTGTGACTCAAATAGTAGAGCATTAGCCTTGAGCAAAAATGCTTAAGAACAGTGCCTAGGCTCTGAGCTCAAGCTACAGGACTTGTACCCATACAAAAAGCAGATATATCCCCAAATGTGTGCCCTTCCATGTTTTCTGAATGTTTCATGAACTTGAGGACAAAAGGTGAAGAGAAAAATTTCACAACTGTGCACATTTTGTAATAAACAAGGAGTGGCATCTTCCATCAGATCTTCTATTCAAACACTGAACTGGAAATAGTAAGTCACTTGTGTTATAATGCATTGCGCGCACATACAGTGGGATACTTTAGTGGAGCAGTGGAGAAATCGAAGCTCTTATGTCCTTGTCTGAAATCATAACAGTCTTTTCCCAACTATGACTCCCCAAACCACCTTGGAGGATGATCTGAGTCCAATCTCAAAGGGCCAGAGCTCTTATTTCTGACTTTATAAAATCACCTTGACAAATTATCCCGTATTATAAAAGACACAAGTCAACAACTTCACTCTCTTAATTACTTCTCAAGCCTGGAAGAAATTAACACCCATCACTTGTGTCCAAATTTTTTGAATAACATTCAAGGACACCATCCACACTCATCACAATAAGAGGATGAGAAATGTTGGCTCAGCGACTGCCCAATAGGAAATAATGGTTTCGGGCTGGGAAGGTGGCTCAGTGGTAGAGAGCTTGCCTTGCATGCCTGAGGCCCTGGGTTTGATTCCTCAGCGCCACATAAGAAAAAAGAAAAAAGCCGGAAGTGGCGCTGTGGCTCAAGTGGTAGAGTGCTAGCCTTGAGCTGAAGACCCGAGGGACAGTGCCCAGGCCCAGAGTTCAGGCCCCACAACCGGACCAAAAAAAAAAAAAGGAAAGAATGGTTTCCCATTACACCTAGCTTACTTCTGCCATGAAGAGCCTCTCTATATAATTTGCAGCAGTTCCTGAAAAGTATTTTCCTGCATTGGGTTTCTTTCCTGTGAGTGGTGATGCTTGCTAAAGCCTGACTTCTGCTTGAAAGATTTCCTCTAATGTTTACATTTACCAGGTCTCTGATAGCCGTAGAGATAAGACTTCCAGCTAAATGTTTTTCTACATTTATATGCTGAGAATTTCTCTCATTTATATGTTCTCAGATGCACTGAGGACTGACACCTGCTTAAAAGTCATTGTACATTTGGTGCATTCATTAGTTTTCTTTTCTCCTGTGTGATTCAGTTCTCTGATGAACACTGAGGTATGCCTTCCAGGTGAAGGCATACCTTTCCACATTTATAACATTCATAAGGTTTCTCTCCTGTGTGTTCTATTAACACCAACCCATACCTTTTTGGTGAAGGATTTTCCACGATTGTTACGTTCATACGGTTTCTCTCCTGTGTAGGTTCTCTGATGCAAATTGAGGTGTGACTTCTTGAAAATTTTTTCCACATTTGTTTTATTCATAGGATTTCTCTCCTATGTGTGTTCAATGATGAGCCATAAGCTGTGCCTTCTGGGTGAAAGACTGCACATATGCTCCATTCATAAGGTTTCTCTCCTGTGTGGGTTCTCTGATGCAAACTGAGTTTTCTTCCAGGTGAACGACTTTCTATTTATTTTATTCATAAAATTTTTCACGAGTGTGAATTCTCTTATGCTTGTTGAGATGTGAACTCTGGATGAAAGACTTTCCACATTTGTTACATTCATAAGGTTTCTCACCTGTGTGAATTCTCTTATGCCTACTGAGGTGTGAACTCCACTTGAAGGTCTTTCCACATTTGTTGCATTCATAAGGTTTCTCTCCTGTGTGGGTTCTCTGATGTGAAGTGAGGGTTGATTTGTGCCTGAAAGACTTTCCACATTTGTTACATTCATAAAGTTTCTCTCCTGTGTGTGTTCTCTGATGCAAAGTGAAGGAAGACTTCTGCCTGAAAGATCTATATTTGTTACATTCATAAGGTTCCTCACCTGTGTGAATTATCTTATGCTTGCCGAGGTGTGAACTCTGGGTGAAGGTTTTTCCACATTTGTTACATTCATAAGGTTTCTCACCAGTGTGAATTCTGTTATGCATGCCAAGGTGTGAACTCCACTTGAAGGTCTTTCCACATTTGTTGCATTCATAAGGTTTCTCTCCTGTATGTGTTCTTTGGTGCAAAGTGAGGTGAGACTTCCCTCTGAAAGCCTTACCGCATTTGCTGCATTCATAAGGTTTCTCTCCAGTGTGATTTCTCTCATGCAAAGTGAGGTCTGACTTCCGTCTGAAAGTCTTTCCACATTTGTTACATTCAAAAGGTTTCTCACCTGTGTGAATTCTCGTGTGTCTCTGGAGGTTTGCCTTCCGGGTGAAGGACTTTTCACATGTCTGACATTCATAAGGTTTCTCTCCTGTGTGTGTTCTCTGATGGACAGTAAGATGTGTCTTCCGGGCAAAAGATTTTCCACATGTGTTACATTCATAAGGTTTCCCTCCTGTGTGTGTTCTCTGAAGCAAAGTGAGGTATGACTTCTGTATGAAAGACTTTCCATATTTGTTGCATTCATGACATTTCTCATCTTTGGGAGTTCTCTGATGCCTGCTGAGACCTGACTTCTGGGTGGAAAATTTCCTGCATTCCTCATATTCAAAGGGTTTCTCATCTATGGGTGACTGAGGTTGGAAAGTCAAGTCTGACTTCTGAGAGAGAAGTTTTGTACATTGCTTATACTCATCAGACTTCTGTGGATATTTGCTCTCAGGTTTTCTAATGTGCATTTCCTTATTGAAAGACTTCTCACATTCATTACATGTACAAGGATTCTCTCCTTTGTATATTTTCTGATGTGTAGTGACTACAGGTCTTACGTAGAATGTTTTTCCACATAAAGTACATTCAGATGTTTTCCTCCCACCTTGAAGTATCTCTTCGGCAAGGAGAGCAGACTTATCATAGTCTTCTCTATATTCACTATGGTTATAGGAGGGCTCTCCCATACAGACCCAATTATGTCTAAAGAATATAGTCTCTGAGTTTAATACCTTCCCTTCTCCACCAAATTCAAAATACTGCAGCTCATTTGGACTCGCATAATTTTGATTAAAATACTCAGAGTATCTGAAGGATTGTTCAACTACAGGAGACACACCAGGTGTATATGCAGCATGCATCTCATCAGGCTCACTATAAAGAAGCATGTTCTGACACTCAATGAACTCCTCAGGGCTCATCCCTAAAGAGTTCCCATTATTCCTCATCAGCTCAAGCTTATGAGTTGAGCTTAAGTTAAAAGTTGTTATCAATCTCACTCTTTCTTCCATTGGGTTACTATTAGTGACTGCTACTTCACACAGACATTCATCTGGACCTTCCTGGCAGGTCTTAACCACCTCCTCCACTTCTTGGACATCTAAAATGTGTCAAAGAAAAAAAAGACAAAAACATAAATGAGATCCAAAGTAAAGATGTAAAGATGAAGACATTTTCTCCCATTCTGTTACAGATTTTCAATTATCAAAATAGGAATTAATTTATGATACATGATTTCTCCCTAATGTATTAATTAAAAAATAATATTGATATTTAGCCATGGAAAATGTTTTTCTGTGTTTCAGCTTTTCTTTTTATATCAGAAGAAATATTTACTCAAATTATTCAACTAAGTACTGTGAAAGTTTTAAGCTGCACACTTAAAATCTGCCTTTAGAATTCTTGGGGTTGTTTGTTTCAAATATTGTTCTGTTTGACCATAGGGGAATAGCTGCTTTGTGTTCTTTAATTTTCTTGAAATAATTTATATATTGCGCTGCTTTGCTTCTCAACCATTAGGTGAGGAACTGGAATATTTCTAGATTTGGAGACTATAATTGTGTTTTATATATTCCTTTGCCTTTCACCTAAGCAGGGATGGTTCCTGACAGTAGGCATTAATACCTACATCTCTTCAATTCTAACTTCTCATAAGAATTACTTTAAGTATCTGTAGGAATTTTAAAGTTCATTTCTCTCCATCTTATACAGTCTCATCAAAATTCCTTTTCTGACACTTTTGCCCCTCAGAAGCATGGAAGATCAAAGACACTCCGGCTCACAACCTAGTCCTCTCTACACAAAAAGATCTGGTTCTGAACTCCAGTATCTCCCCACCACCAATAAGCTATTTTCCTTATCAGAGGATAGCAGCCCTGGTGTACTCCTTATTACCTAACCCTGCATACTCCTAGAAATGAAAATGAAAGAAAATGAAATCTCATTTTCTACATTCCTAATTCTCTTTTTTGTTTCAGAATGATTTCCACAAAGAGAAAGAACTGCTAACTTTAACTCGACTGCCACATAGAATTCAGGATGTCTCCCCATGAATTCTTGATTCACAAGCCTTTGAGACAAAGGATCACCTAGTTCTCTGCCACACACAGGACCCAGGGAAACTAGGAACATTATTGCTCAATACAGGATCATGAACTTACCAACTTGGTTCTGGCTTCAACATCTATACAAGATGCTTTAACTCACCTGTGAAATTCTTGTCTGAGGCTTCTCCTATCCATGGTTCTGCACCTTGCTCCAGCTTGACAATCAACTTAGGTTTAGGAACACAGTGACCTGTTATTAAGAAATAGTGGAGACCTGGGCTGGGAAGGTGGCTCAGTAGTAGAGTGCTTGCCTTGCATGCATGAGGCCCTGAGTTCGATTCCTCAGTACACATAAACAGAAAAAGCCAGAAGTGCCACTGTGGCTCAAGTGGTAGAGCACTAGCCTTGAACTGAAGAGCTGAATGACAGCGTCCAGACCTAGAGTTCAGGCCCCATGACTGACAAAAAAAAAAAGTGGAGACCTGTTGCTCATGTTGGGTCATCATTGCTTCAAGATCTCAGACATCCTGTTTTTTATTTCTCACCAGCTCCATGGTTGACTTTCCCCAGCTTTGTATTTATTTTGCCAGTTATATGGTTTCAATTCAGTTCTTTTGCTCAAGGCTAGCATTCTACCAGTTTGAGACCCAGCTCCACTTCCAGTTTGGGAGTGGTTAATTGGATAGAAGAGTCTCATGGGTACTTCATACACATTGCTGGCTTCAAACCAAAATATTCAGATTTTATCCTCCTGAGTAGCTAGGATTACAGGCATGAACCACTGCATCCAGTGTCAAACTAGATCATACTTCTAAATAGTGATATACATAGTTTAGAGCCTTTGTTAAACTACTGGTATGGTTTCTTGAAGAATAAGAATAAAACTGCCTAAGGAGTTACATAAAGTTGAAGTTTTTCTTAAAAAAAAAAAGTGACACTTCCCACGGACTGGAATCTTACACCTAAATAACATAAATATTGGGGCTGGGAAGGTGGCTCAGTGGTAGAGCGCTTGCCTTGCATGCCTGAGGCCCTTGGTTCGATTCCTCAGCACCACATTAGCAAAAAGAAAAAAGCTGGAAGTGGCACTGTGGCTCAAGTGGTAGAGCACTAGCCTTGAGCTGAAGAGCTAAGGGACAGCGCCCAGGCCTAGAGTTCAGGCCCCATGACTGGACCTCCCCCTAAAAAAAAAAAAAAAAAACCCATAAATATTCATATATCTACAAAAACAAAGCACTTGACCTTGCAAGTTAATATGACGTTTGCTCACCTAAGGATACCAGGTTGCTGTAGGTCTCTAGCATTACATCTCTATACAGGGTCCTCTGAGAAATATCCAGGTCCTGCCATTCCTCCCAGCTGAAATCCACAGCCACCTCATCAAAGGACACCAACTTCTGAAATGGCACATTTCCATCATTAATTAGCCTTGAGTCATGAGAACACCAAGTCTGAAATTTCATTCTTCTACATGAATGCTTTTTTCTTAAATAAAATGTTTGGAACTTACTCTGTTACCTATACAGTGAGAGAAAGAAAAATCAAAGTAGAAAGATTTGTCTCCTTATGAACTTGGTAGTTACAAATACAAAGTTATAAATACACGTGAGAACACATTTCTGGTGCTAGCAATAGAGATAAGAGCTAATAATCTGGCAAAACAACCTTAAGTCTAAGTAGGCGTCTGAAAGAGTGTATTTAGCTTATTTTGCTAAAATTTACTACATACCAGGGTAACAATAAACTAACTTTTCCTGCATTTTCATACTTTCCCTAACTGAAAAACTTGTTTAGATCTTCTATTAAAAGCCTGTTTAGATCTTCTATTAAACTACACTCTGTAGTTGTGGAGGTGGGAGGGAAGAAAGGGTAGGGGAAAAACAAAGGAGGAGGTAACAATGCTTGATAGGAAATGTACTCATGATCTTGTTCATGTAACTGTAACCCCTCTATACAATATTTTTACAATAAAAAATGTATTTAAAAATGAACAAAATAAAACAAAAAAAGTGCTCTCATAGGCAATCAGGACATCACATTAAATACATATTAGTAGATCTATGAAAAACATAATGCCCAGGTGAATGTTAAAGAAAGTAAAAGTACTCAAGAAAGTAGATAATAGTTGCTTTGGTAAGATTTGACTTCATTGAAGGACCACTACGATGAAAACTTTAAAAACCTGCAAAAGGAAATTAAAACAGAACTTAGGAAGTAGAAAAACCTCCCATGCTCCTGGATTGGGAGGATTAACACCACGAAAATGGCGATACTTCCAAAGGCTATATATGAATCCAACGTGATACCTATCAATATTCCAACCTCATTCTTCAAGGAAATAGAAGCAACAATCCAAAAATTCATATGGAACAATAAAAGACTCCGAATGGCAAAAATGATCCTTAACAGAAAGAACAGTGCTGGAGGAATATCAATACCAAATTTCAAACTCTACAACAAAGCCATAGTAATCAAAACAGCTTGGTACTGGCACAAGAGCCACAGGACCAATGGAATAGAATTGAAAACCCAGAAATGAACCCACAGACCTATAGCCACCTAATCTTTGATAAGGGAGCTAAAAAAATAGAATGAAAGAAAGACAGCCTCTTCAGTAAATGGTGCTGGCAAAATTGGTTAATCACTTGTAGAAAACTAAAGCTAGATCCTAATACATCACCCTGCACCAGAATCAATTCCAAATGGATCAAAGACCTCGGAGTCAAAGCAGACACCTTGCAAACATTACAGGAAGGGGGCTGGGAAGGTGGCTCAGTGGTAGAGTGCTTTCCTTGCATGCATGAGGCCCTGGGTTCGATTCCTCAGCACCACATAAGCAAAAAGAAAAAAACCGGAAGTGGCACTGTGGCTCAAGTGGTAGAGCGCTAGCCTTGAGCTGAAGAGCTGAGGGACAGCGCCCAGGCCCAGAGTTCAGGCCCCACGACTGGACCAAAAAAAAAAAAAAAATTACAGGAAGGAATAGAAGAAACTCTAGGTCTCCTTGGCGCAGGCCGAAATTTTCTTAAAAGAGACCCAGAAACACAACAAATCAAAGAAAGGTTGGACAAATGGGATTACATGAAGCTGCAGAGCTTCTTCATGGCAAAGGACATAGCTAGCAAGATCAATAGAAAGCCCACAGATTGGGAGAAGATCTTCACTAGCCACAACGGACAAGGGTCTCATATCTAAAATATACCTAGAACTCAAAAAATTAAATCCCCCAACAATAAATCCTCAAAGAAACAACTGCCCAATAAATAAGTGGGCTAAAAAAGAGAAACTTCTCTGAAAAGGAAATAAGAATGACCAATAGACACATGAAGAAATGCTCAACTTGTCTAGCCATAAAAGAAATGCAAATCAAAACAACACTGAGGGCTGGGAAGGTGGTTCAGTGGTAGAGCGCTTGCCTTGCATGCCAGAGGCCCTGGGTTCGATTCCTCAGCACCACATAAGCAAAAAAGAAAAAAAGCCAGAAGCGGCGCTGTGGCTCAAGTGGTAGAGCGCTAGCCTTGAGTTGAAGAGCTGAGGGACAGTGCCCAGGCCCAGAGTTCAGGCCCCACGACCGGACCCAAAAAAAAAAAAATTATTCCATTGAAATATAATTATAGTATACAATGTCATATGTTGGTAATCTAAGAATATTGTAAACTCAGAGTACCTAGCAATAATACAGTGAAGTGCATCCACCATGTCTGCCACAACAAAGAATCAGACTGGGTGGGAAATTTATTTTCTTCCAGTTCTATTGTATAGCAACAATTTTTGTGCATATTTTACTTCTTTTGGAACTCTATGCCTTAGCCTGAGGATAGCCTTTGTTCTGTACAAAAAACCTCTGGTTATTTCTTTATTAAGAAAAGAAACAGGGGCTGAGAAGGTGGCTTAGTGGTAGAGTGCTTGCTTCGCATGCATGAGGTCCCAGGTTTGATTCCTCAGCACCACATAAGCAGTAAAAGCCAGAAGTGGCACTGTTGCTCAAGTGGTGGAATGCTAGCCTTCAACTGAAGAGCTGAGTGACAGCACCCAGGCCCAGAAATCAGGCCCACAACAACCAAAAAAAAAAAAAAGAAAGAAAGAAAAAAGAAAACAAACTACCAGACTAGATTATAGCTATTACATAATAGTTTTTTCAAAGAACTGTATTAGGTCTTGCATATTTATGAGTTGCACAGATACAATGAACCACTGAACCAAACTATTTGAAAAAGTATGGCACCTGCATTAAATGTGCAGTCTTTGAACAAACTGTCATTAACCCATGAACAATGCAGAAGAACAACTATTTACACAGGTTTTAAATTGTAATGGGTATGATAGGTGATTTACAGTATAGAAGAGTGCCTACAAGCTATATTAGAGGTGATTTACAGTGTATAGAAGGATGTGTACAGGTTACAGGGAAGCAAAATAGGAACTAAATATCAGGTAAGACAGATAATAAATAGGAAAATGGCCATCATAAATGAAACCATGTTAATATTGTAATATACAGTAAACATAAAGGCACTGACTTAAACAGACAAAAAAAAAAAACACTCCTAAAACTCAATAAGTTATCCAGAGACATATACTAAATATAGAGAAATAAAAATGAATAAATACAAAGACACCTTTAGCAAAAATCAATAATAAAAATACAAATAGTGGGGTTGGAAAGGTGGCTCAGTGGTAGAGCGCTTGCCTTGCATGCATGAGGCCCTGGGTTCGATTCCTCAGCACCACATAAGCAAAAAGAAAAAAGCCGGAAGTGGCGCTGTGGCTCAAGTGGTAGAGCGCTAGCCTTGAGCTGAGGAGCTGAAGGGCAGCGCCCAGGCCCAGAGTTCAGGCCCCACGACCGGACCAAAAAAAAAAAAATACAAATAGTGGTAATATGAAAGGAAATAAACATCAACACAAATTGTATGACCACAGATACAGACCATTGATAGTAACAGACATATCGTACATCTCGATGATAAAAGTTGTATGCTGAAAAGCAGTCTCCAAAGACATGTTTAAAAGGCCACAGAATTATAACTTTTAATCTACCATTACTATTGGAGAACTAACTCTCCTCTAATTGACAGAACAACCAGACAAAAAGTCAACAGGAACACACACGGATCTCATTATCTTAACTTAAATGCTGTTTATAAAGCACTGTGGTATTAAATTTACCAAGACAGACTCACTGAAAGCAAATCTCAAGACAGACTTTGTAGAAATCAATATGAGAAATAAAGCTATAAGTTATAAATTCAGTAAAATTGAATAATGTTTCTAATAATATATGAGTAAAAAAAAAACACATGAGAGCTGGGAAGTTGGCTCAGTGGTAGAGCGCTTGCCTTGCATGCATCAGGCCCTGAGTTCGATTCCTCAGCACCACATAAGCAAAAAGAAAAAAGCCGGAAGTGGCACTGTGGCTCAAGTGGTAGAGCGCTAGCCTTGAGCTGAAAAGCTGAGGGACAGCGCCCAGGCCCAGAGTTCAGGCCCCACGACCAGACCCCCCCCCCCAAAAAAAAAAAACCACACACACATGAAAATTAGAATGGATCTGGAAGAAATGTACTCTACCACTGTGATTTATAGAATGTTAAAGGCAACCACTTTCTTACTTCACCTTTGAAGTAAAAACAAAAGCTTTTGATTATGTATGGTGTACTCCCATGTATATCTTCTGGAGGGTAGGGAAAGCCATAGAACTCAAGGAAAATAGGATAAAAAGCACAGCAGTGGAGGTCATTAGACACTGAGGAAAGTAAACTATACAACTGGTAAGTAGAGATGAGAGGGAGGGACTGGGAAAGAATGAAGGAATGGAAGGCACTGTATGGAAGGAAGTGTCCTCATTACCTGACACATGTAATTGTAATCCCTCTGTACAGCACCTCTATTGTTACAATAAATTAAATAATTCTTCCACTGAGAGGTGCTAGCCTAAACTATTTCCTTAGTGAAGAAAATCAACCATAGTTAGAAGAAGTTATAATTATTAGAAATAAAATGCAGGGGCTGGGAAGGTGTCTCAGTGGCAGAGCACTTGCCTCACATGCATGAGGCCCTGGGTTCGATTCCTCAGCACCACATAAGCAGAAAAAGCCAGAAATGGTGCTGTGGCTCAAATGGTAGAGCGCTAGCCTTGAGCTGAAGAGCTGAGGAACAGCACACAGGCCGAGTTCAGGCTCCATGACCGGAAAAAAAAAAAAAGAACAGGCTGATGACTTGCTGGTACCACAAGGGAGAAGGATCACTTCACATAACTATTCATAATAACCAAAAGACAGAAGCATGTAAACAATAGATAAATGTTAAAAAAAAAAAAAAAAAAAAAAAAAAAGGGAGAGTGGGAAGATGGCGACGGGGCAGTAGGGAAACGCCACAGCTCTCTCCAACCAAAAAGAGAGTTCGA